AAGTTAATTGACACCAATGATTAGAACTAGCTGCTGTAACGATGGTAAAAGAGTATCCATCTGGTCTTGATGAAATGCCTTTGGATTTTGATGGTGAAATTACTCCAATTGGAGGCTTTTTTTTTTGAAAATAATCTATATATTTTAAACAAAAATTTGTTAAAATTTTTTTACATATAAATTTGTTATCTATGTTGTATGTTAAAATTTTTATCTGATCAAAAAATTATTAGCGACGTTATAATCTGATGTAGATATATATGTATTAAATTTGTAAAACTCATAATACTTTCTTCTTACAAATGTACACATTCTTTAAACGAGTATTTTTAAAACGAGTATTTGTTTATATTCCAAAGTGATATACATTAATAGAAAAAAATACCTTCTAGTTCGATTTGCTGCCGAAATTTTAATTGATAAATATAAGTTAAAACAATGCAAATAATTAAGTATAAAGAAAATATTTACATTCCGCTTCGTCCTAACATTTTTTTATTATATATAAAAAGAATTTGAATGCTAAGGTAAAAATTGAAATAAGTAATAAATGGACCTTTATTATATATATATTTTTTCTGAGCTACCTTTTGAGTAATAATTATCAAAAAATTTAAAGAATCCAAGTATTATCTATCAATAGTTATATAGATAACTGATAGAACGTACATCACTTATCGTTATCGTTATCATATATAAATTTACATATATATATGAGTGAAAAACCTGTAAATCATTTAACTTATTATTATAATGATTTACAGGTTTTCCCTTTTCGTCACTCATATTATATATTATGTATGCACATAGTGCAGTTACGTATGTATGAATCTTAATGTTAATCTTAATTTAATGTTAGACTTTTTTAGGTTAATTTTTTTTCAATAACCTTTGGAATTCAGCCAAATTACTAATATTATACGTATGCTTTTTAAGCGAAAACCTAATTTTAATAACGATACGTAGCTCAAGTAATTGAGTTAACTTCCCGAAATCAATTTTACTGAAATACCATTTCACTGAAGTCATAATACTGACACTCCATTTTACTAACAAGAAAGTCTACCGAAATATCATTTAATTGATATAAATTTTATTGATAAGTCATTTATTTATCTGTAAAAAGATGAATGTCTATTTAACTGACATGCCATTTTTCCGAATGGTACATTTTTCTGACATTCTATTTCTTTGAAAATATATTACTGAAAGCTCTTTTATCGAAGGATGTTTTACCGAATTATAACTATTTTATAAATTCTGGGTCATCTGATAACCCGAAAAAAAGGTATATGAAATTTTGTTCAATCGAGAAGACATCTTGTTGGGAAATTTCTTTTTGAGGAATATCTTTTCGGAGAAACAAAATATTTGTCGGGGAATTGGTTGTGTTTAAAAAAAAAAATTCGGTGAAAACTTTCTATCAGTAAAATATACTGATATCGGAATTATAGAGTCGGGAAAATGGTATTTCAGGAAGGTAAGTGAGAATCAACGGTTTGGAATTGCTAAAAATGCCAACTAAAAAAAGTTCAACTTCCTAAAAAAACATTTCTAACACTAACTCTAAAGTCTAATTGATTAATCGATTAGTTGGTATCTAAAAAGTTCAATCGATTAGTTGTCAACTAACCAACTAATCGATTTTTACAATTTTCGATTTTTAACACTAGTTCCGAACTTGAAACTTAATGCTACAGTAAATACACTCTTTATAAATGCGTATAGTATATAATTCTAATTCTTTCTAAATGCATAGCATAATTTGGTTCCAACCTATAAGAATTATATATAATTTGCTCTTTATAAATGCTCACCTCCATAAATGCATAATTCCTAAGAAAGTTAAGAAAGTGCACATAGAGAAATCTAGCTGCAATATAGTTCTTTAAGTGTCTCTAGTACTTGCACTTATAGAGGTTTTACTGTATATGTATATAACGGATTATAATAAAATTTCAAATATAAATCCCTTGTATAAAAACACGCCTCTTCTAGGAGGTAATAAACCCCCCCTTATGTCTCTTATTCGTTATATATATGTCCGTTATATACATAGTTAATTGTATTTAAAAATACATGCTATATACATTATATATTTGTTTAATATCAATTCAACAAATGTATAAGTAGCAAAAAAATAATTTTTATTAAATAGATAAAAATATAACAGAAATTTTATGAATCATCAAAATGTGAATTATTTTTCAAAGCCCTAATTACCACTACGATTTTGTCCCTTTATTATTTTATTAGTTTTTTTACGCTTTTTCTTTAATATATCTGATCCTTTATGTTTCTTTTTGATTTTTGGTTTTTGCTGTTCTTCTGAAGGGTTTTGTTCTTTTTCTTGTGACAACTTTGGCTTATCTTGAGCATTTTTCTGAATTATTGTAAATATCAGTATATTGAACTACGCAATTATAATACCAAAATATTCTTGATATATAACTATAGGCCTACTTACTTTTTTGGGTTTAAACGTTCCCTTTTGATATTTTTCTGCCTCACTAATGCAACTCGTGTGAGACTTATAACTCGTTCCAACAAACGTTTTAGAACAATCGATGCAAGTAAACGTGGTAATAGGACACTTTATACGGTGTTGATCAAGCTTAGGCTTCTTAATAATGTCAGCACACTGGTCACAACTAAAGGACACCATTTTTCTATGAAAAAAAAAGCGATAAGAAAAAAAAAGAAAAAAAGAATTTATAGATTGCATCATTAATATATACACGAATTATCGGACCAATCATAATGCAGATCTATAAAAAAATATCGATAATGATTTGTAAATTTTATTTAACAAATTACAGAATTACTTGAAGTAAAAAAAGAATTAAACCCATTTTACGTAAAAATTTTATAGAAAAATATGTAAATATAAAAAGATTCACTCGGAATATATATATATATATATATATATATATGTGATAATGAATTAAAAAAAAAATTTTTTTTTAAATATAAATATTCAATAGAAAAAAAGAAATCAAAATTTAAAAATAACTTACCAATTACCAAATCATCATTTAAAATTGTGTTTACGATATATATTGAAGTAAATACGAACAAAATTCCTAATAAAACAAAGGAAGGAAAATATCTTCGTCCACTTCTAAATAAAAATGGAACTATATTCAAATTGTTTAACTTGCCACCACCATTATTTCGACGTATTTGACCCATTGAAATACTATTTGTTGAATGCATATTTTTGTCTAAATAAGCATTATGTTGATTTGTCGAGTCAGAAGGATTTATTGTTGAAATAGTCTTCAAAGATGTGCACTCTGAAGACTCTGGTACCGATAAGGATTGTGACTTCGACCTTATTTTTGGGTCAGTCATATTAATTTAACCGAACTGTAGTGTAAAAGGAAGTCTAAAATAATCTACTCACGTTCTTTTAAGGTATCCTTGTTATTTGTAGGAGAGTTGAGACAAGTGCAACCAATGCAAGGCTTTAAATTTTAATTTTTTAATGTAGTGCAGCACACGTGTTATTACTAAACATGTAAAATTATCGCTACATTAAAAAATTCTTGTTTTACAAATATCAAAGCCAAGATATTTAAGATCGAATTGACAATTTTGATTCTATAGTTTTATTTACAGTATTCACGAACTTTAAACGTTTTTTACGCAAAATATATAAGTTGATATTGTGTCGCTTACGGAATTATTAAATATTGTAAAGGAATGAAGAAAAACCAATGAAAGGTGTTCAATTTATAACATATTGATCTTTTGAAAGAATCGTGACAAAAAGAAACATTCTTTAGGAAGAAGAAGAAGAAAAAAATCAAATATAAATAAAAAATGCTGGTATGCCAGTTTTACAAAATCCCGAATGACGGGACTCGATACTGAGACCGGCATCAGTTATAATGCTGGCAAATTTAGTCGGTATTATGTTCGTGGTTTTCGGGATTTTGTGGTAGAACCAAAAATGCCACGCATTCGATCAAATTGCTAAGGAGTCTTGGGGTGTGCAATATCCTATAATTACTATTATAGTAAATTAAATGATTTTGTAAATCATTCTTTAACAGTAAAAACATACTGTATAAATTTTAAACGAATAGAACTTAAGAACTAAAAATAAATATGTAAATAAATACAATCAAAATTATATTTCTGTATTTATTGAATTTCATTTAATAATCTCTTTAAATAGAAGGTTCTTGTGATGATTCCGCCATTCAACATTTATCAGCTTAGTTATGCGATCTCATCATTGCAAACTAATCTGACCAGTTTTTAATTCGCAAGGCTACTATTTAATAATCATTTAAGCTACAAGTTTAAATTTTACTATAAATTGCCTTGTGTAAATTTAGACTTCAATTAACGAATAAGTATCATTTGAGTGTCGTCAAGCGAAAACCAGGAATTGCGAGTTTTCCGAAATTAATTTTACAGATCAAACCCCGAAAAAGTGATTTAACACACCATATAATATATGTTGTGCTTAATTGGAATCGGATCAGAAAGCGGAGCCGGCAAAAATCGAAATTGCAGGTTTTCGCTTGGCGACACTCCATTTGTAAAACCACTTAAACTCGACAATTTGTAGAGACCTACGTGTTAATATTGTGATAATATTTCATTGAGATTATTATACGAGTGTTCGAGGTTGCAGGTTCATTATGATTATTAGATGATTGCTTTTACAAAAGGATTTTCATCTTTTTAAATACATTATGATTTAATATTCTTGGCCATAAAGATTGGGTTAGTATATAGTGTCTTATTAGATTGTTTAGGCATTAAATATCATAGTGATCTGATATAAATTACATGATTGTAATACAATAAAGCAATAAAAGCATTATCGCATTTATGAGTGACTTTTTCACGTGATATTATTGGTCAGCTACAAATTTTGGACGAGCTAGTATAGCTGATAGGTGGGCAAATATACTGTAATTAACATAGATAATTTAAACTATATATATACAGTATATATATAGTTTATATTTTGAACAACTTTAAAAATATTTATAAACTAATTTACAGTAACTATATAGTTTAAATTAACTAATTTTGATATCTTTGCTGTACTGTTTTCCTAAATGGTATTAGCATAAACAAAAATCCACCTATTGCTGTATTGGTCCTCTTATATGAAAATATATAAATACACTTGATCACATGACGAACATATTTGCCAGAAGCAAGGGAACAAATCCCTTTTAAAAATTTATTACTTGCTATTTGCAATATATATACAAAAAAAAAAAAAAACTTTTTTGTAATGACCAAAAGCTATGCGCGAACTATTATAAGAAGTCTTAACAAGTCGGTTCTGAAGGTTAACTTTAACCGATTTTTTTCATGAGTGACCAGGATCACTAGATTCTCGCTCGTATTCGATTCCTTCATCATCAATATTTTCATTGCCCAACATCTGTGAATTATGATACTCAATGATCGTATTCGATTTTGATAAATCGATCAATTTCCCAGATTCAACAGCTCGAAGTCCCATCTGGCGCGCTTTTTGGAAAATTTGGATTCTAAATTTATTTATTAATAAAATATTAGTTTGTTAAAATAAGATCTATTAATTCAATCGAATGGTTTCGATCATCATAACACTTTTCTTATATTGCTCAAGTGGACCGATTAGGGACAGTCTGAATTGATTACCATCTCTGTTTCTAAATTAACGTATAATGATAAATCCATACCTAGTTCTTTCAGGTTCGAATTCTTTAATAATTAATTCCCAATCGCCGTTATGTTTATCGTAAGCTGCTTTCAACCGTTCTACTTCATCATCTGTCCAAAGTTGTCTTGGCGCTCGCCTATGTTTATGTGCTCTTTGATTTTCGGAATTATAAGCCTCTTCACCACTTATTTCAACATCATCTCCAATATGTCTTTTTAATCTTCTATTACTATAATTTTGGCCAACAGAGTATCCACTCATACCGGGAGCAAGCATGCCGCTAATTACCATTCCTGTTTCGTTGATTATTTGAAGGGGATCGATTCCCGGAGATGGTGCGGCCAAGAATAATGAGACATCGGTATCTTTTAAGAGATTCGAAATTCCTTGATAGTATTCGGCGTGTATTTCAAGGCACTTTTTTTGCTAAGAAATCAAAGTATAATTTGAAATCAATTTTAAGTTTGTTTAAAATCAATTCATGCACCAAAAAAAATAAACATAAAAATCAATTTTCAATTTTATAAAGTAAGTGCATCGTTTTTCTTTAAATAAAAAAAAAGAAATAAAAAAACATACAAACTCAAAAAAGTTTTGAATAGTTTTTCTCCGAGGAATATGCATTTTATTGTGATAAGTCTTATTAACTTTGAATTTATAGGTTGTTGTAGGTGGTGATGTAGGCACGTTTTTAACGTCTTCAGTTGAGCTCATACTTTTTTTTTATACTTTAGCAAAGTAAGGAAATTACAAAAAATTACAACTGAACAAAATAACGATAGGATATTAATGTTAGGTTTTAATGTTAAGTACGTATGTACGCTCAATTAGGCTGTCCTACATACTTGTTTACAAATAGCAATTACATAAATCACCAGACAACAAATCAGACAAATCACATGCTTAGCTAACAATAGTACTTTAAATTTGATTGGATAATTGATAAACGTTACAAATTTGCAGTTGTGATTAAAAAAAAAAAAAAAAACGCTGGTGAAAATTAATCAGAGTGGCGAAAATAATTTCTAAATTAGTGAAATTAAGTTCATTATCTCTATTATCTCTAGTTTTGTAATTGCAATCAGATGCTGGTGAAATTTAATTTCAAATTCAAACACAATTTTACCAAATAGTGATGAAATTATCTCACCACTATAATTTTATTTCATCTTTATTTATCAGCACTATATAGTACCTAAGCACAGGGGCGTTTCACAGAACAAAAAAATGCAGTTCTTCGGACCCTTAATAGGTTCTATTCTTCTAGTAAAATAACTATATACTGCTGTACTGTAATTAAAAATAAAGTCTATATATTTAAAACAATACAATAATACAGTATATATATATATAATATATACATATATACTGTATATAATACTGTAATACTGGTCAAACTTTTATAATGCCGGTACTTTCTATTTTCGTAACTCCCAGGTCTTTTTCGAAACCTTATCGTACTCGCTATATCAATATTTGATCAATAATCGTCTATCGCTATATAAATATAGTCCATGTTAATACAAGTTATGTCTATTGATTGGCTGATTATTCTCCCACTAACTTTCATGCTGATTATCTGACCAATGAATTCAATTCTTTATATAATCTATGTGAGTATCAATGTGAGTGTAACATTATACGAATGACTCTCGTTATAGCCGTACGAGAGTATCACTATATCGAGTGAATTTCTTATTCTGGTTTAAGTTTAGCATCGTTATATCAGGAGTTCACTATCAAGAGTTTGTTATATCAAGTGTGGCATACATAAGGTTTTGGTTCACCAAAATTCGAAACTCTGTACAAAGGTGTGTTATTTTTAATTTCTAACGCTAAAAAAAATATATATATATTTCTTGAATATATAATTCATAATTATCGCTAACGAAAATTCATCATTAATTTAGTTATGTTATCACGTGTTAAAATCTTAAATTACACCAGACAAACTATGTCTAGTTTGTTTTTTCCAACAAATAATCCCACTACAAACAATTTATTTGTATTGCATAATAATACTTTAACGAAATGCATCCCTCAATTCATTCATAAAAAGCATACCAAGTCTAATAAAATTTCTAAAGTTCCTACCCCCTTTGATCCTCCACCGTCTATTATGTACACACCTAGCCCCTCGATATCTCGTCCCGAAGAAGGTAATAGAGGCCCAACAGCTGGTAGATCGATTCCTGTTTCTGGTAATGTTATGATGTGTTACAGGAGATTATGGAGTGTCTTAAACAATAATAAAATACGTCAAGAAGTACGCCGCAATAGATATTATGAAAAACCCACAATTAGGAGGAAAAGAATTAGAAGAGAAATTTCTGAAGCACGTTTCAAAGAAGCTGTGAGAAAAAAAGTTTGGCTAATTTTGCAAATGAAAGCGAGGTTTGTTTTTTTTTTTTTGCACGTAAATATTTTTAATTCTCCCATCGTTATTCATGTGCTGATTCCATTTGTATACTTATTCATAGGGGTCTCTAAAGTACAATAAAATTCTGATAATGTTATATGCTAGACATCTACTTTTGATCAAAAATTTTATATTATTGATATATTTTGATTTTAAATAAAAATTAGAACTTTCAAAACCCTAAATATATATTTTACAAGGATTTTCATATCAAATTAATGAGACGTGTTGTTAATTTAATCTATACACACTATAACTTATTCCGTCTATTAATTTCCTCTAAAATTAATTGTTAAATCCATACTTAAATGTAATTATACTCCACGTAACAATCGCTCAGTAACTCGTTCTCTTGCCGTATGATATGCTTGAATGAATGTTTGCTCTGTGATAGGAATATCTGTAGTATCAGTGCGGGGTCGAGTTACGCGAGATACAATAACACTTGAATCGGTTTCCAAAGCAATGCTAAAGAAATGGTCAACTGAATTAATTAACAACATCTCATATAAAATACATTCGAAACAAATAAGTTCTTTACCCATCATCTATTGTTTCATCTAAAGCAAGAACTACAAGGTCCAGGTTATCAGCAATTGTTCTTTTTTCAACTTGATGTCTAAATATTTCATTAAATTTGTTTAAATTCGACTTATTTAAAAAAAATTAATTTCACACAAACCAAGAATATGAAATGTTCAAACCTTAATAAACTAGAAACTGCATCATAAAATGCATTCAAGATAGTGCTTAACAAAAGTTCATTTTCTTCTACGGATCCAACAACGTAAAAAAAGACGTCAATATTACTACGGTAAAGAACTACATGATTATCATAGAGAATAATTTCGCCTAATGAGCAAAAAAAAAAAAACGATTTTTAAGTACCAAATTAATAAATTGCCTCTAAATAAAATAAAATAAAAATTACCATTCGCTCTTCTGGTTTTATCGAATAATCCTTTTTCAAAAACTTTTTGTTCTTTTGGAGTGGGATATGGATTTTTATTGCCATAATATTTTGCAAGAATTCTATTTCCTTCACCATCAAGAAGTATTACAGCGGTCGTTGTGTAAAGTGTTAAATTACTCTTTAGGACATGAAAAAGAATTTAGAGCGAGAATAAGAATGAAAGTTTTAATAAAAAAATAAAATACCATATTTATTCTTCAACGTTAAACGAAAAATATATAATATTAAAGAATAATAAGAAAACCGTTTAACGTTAATACAATTAAAATACAATCACTACCTTTCAAAGAATACTAACGCTAATTTATACGTAGTAGATCTGTCATGCAGATTTATTTTCACGAGGCTTTTATCCTTATCAGTTATCGTTATTTATCATCTACCCAATCGGTATCGCCTGAATATTTATCATATCTATCACTATCATGTCCCCTTTCACTTTCGTGCCCAATACAAAAGTCCAAAATGCAAATAACAATTTCATTTCGTGGAAAAACTCAAAAACCTCCTGTTAAAATTGACCTTCCAGAAGACCCAATAGTCGATGACTTGAAAAAAGCAATATATAAAAAAATACCAAAATATTATCCTGACCGTCAACGCTTGACTTTTAATGAAAAGGTTTTGCAAGAGGGTAAAACTCTGAATGAATATGATATAAAGAATGGCGATACCGTTGCGTTCAAAGACTTAGGTGAGATATGAAAAATACATTTTTCGTTTATAGACATTGTAAATTTTAATCAAATTATATATTAAAAAAGGTCCACAAATAAGTTGGAAAACGGTATTTCTAATTGAATATTTCGGTCCTCTCGTCATTCATCCAATATTTTATTATTTTAAATCTCAAATCTATGCCGAGGATTTTGAACATAGCAAAATGCAAGAGTAATGACTTTTTCAAATACATACGCGTTTTTTTATGATATCAACGTTTTTGCTTGCTAATTTTCTTTTTTTTCCTCATGGTCAGATTTACATTTTACATGATTATGGCCCATTTTGCAAAACGCGAACTAGAAACTCTCTTTGTTCATCGTTTCTCACACGGCACTATGCCTTTCAAGAATGTGTTTAAAAATTCTTTTCATTATCACGCTTTGAGTGGTGCAAATCTGGCATACTGGGTTTATGGTCCTTGGAATGCATCAGGAACTTCGGGTGGTGAACGCAATGAATGGTATATCTGGGCTTGCGTAGCACTTTTTGTGGTGAGTAAAAATTCTGTTCTTTTAACTTTTGATAATTATGAATTAAACCAGTATTTATTCCCTATTTTAGTATGCACAAATTTCTAATTTTAGTACTCATATCACGCTTCGAAACCTTCGTCCGCCGGGCACTCGTGTTCGCAAAATTCCCTACGGGTATGGGTTTGGATTAGTCTCCTGTCCCAATTATTTCTTTGAGATTGTCGCCTGGTTTAGTATCTGTGTCTTGACCAATTCATTGGCAGGTAAGCCTAAGTAAGACAAATTAACATCTCGAAATTTCGTCCATCGTTAATAACTGTTTATTAATTTTATAGCATGGCTTTTTATCGTTGCTGGATTTTATCAAATGTATCTATGGGCTATCAAAAAACATAAGGCTTATCGCAAAGAATTCAAAGATTATCCAAAAGATAGAAAAGCTATGATCCCATTTATAGCTTAATTTTTTTTTTTGTTGTTTTAATATACTTTTTTTTTTTATTTTGAAAATTTTGATTAATGCTAGTTGTTACATCTTCACTAACAAATTTGTTAGTATTAAGAAAAAATTTCTAGAAGCATTATTAACAATGTAATGTAAATCGTACTAAAAAAGGGAAAATACCTTTAATACTTCTCTACTTGACAAAAATATCAAAGGAATAAGAATTATTGTGACCCCTCTCTAAACTTTCCGTTTCTTATGTGACCAGTCTTCTGTTTGATCATCATCTTCGGGTATTCTCTTGAGACCTTTCATTTTTCTTGTCTGGAGCTTACTAAAATCTTGCCTTCCAACATGAATGTGACCCACTTTGTCACCAATTTCATTAACATCAATATTCTTTACCTTCTTTGGCTATAAATGTGAAACATTTAACATACTTCAATGAACTAATTATATAAAAGCGTTAAATATATTTTATCGTAAATACCTTTAACGTTTTGGGAACCTTGGTTGCAATTTTATAAACCTCCTCTTTTGCAAATTTAGTCCTCCTAAGTTTGAAATCATAACTTGGTCCCATCTCTTCTAATTCAATTCTTGGTGCTTTTTGTCCCGATTTGGTCATCTGAATTGTATAAACTCTAAAAAAAATTTTTCCATCAGAAGTCGATGGCGCAGTACTATCAGAATCGACAATTGATCCAGTAGCAGTTATAGAAATAACATATTCTAATCCTGAAATATTAATTGATTCTAAAGTTTGGCCTCGAAAGAAATCCAACATCATATTTTTAAAAGTTTTATGAACTTGTGAAGTTTCAAACAAGTCACCATTGAAGATAAAGAGAGGTTTCATGCCCACAGAACATTTTTGTGACTTTGATAATGAATGGTGATAATGGTAAATTTATAAATAACTTCATATAAATAATAATAGCAGATATTAAATAAACATACCTACTTTTATTTCACTCATGGTGATCGCCTTTTCAATTCCAACTTCGATCATATCTAACACCTGTCCATCAAACATTCTTCCGAAAACTAAATTATGAGGTCTTTTTTTCGAGTGTGATCCAATAACAAACAAGGATGCATCGTTTTTTGCGCAAAAGAAATTCATTGATGTATCATCTTCAAACGGATGAATGTTGTTTTTCTTGGTAAAGTTTATTGAATTAGATCTTCTCAGACGACACTAATTATGGTTTTGAATAGATTAAAATTAAAAGATATGGATTAAATTCGCTATTTTTTCTTTTATGCAGGAAAAGACACATACGAGATCAGATAATGCATCGTTAACCACTTGGCTTGTCGTACTGCCACGGATAAAAATTGCAGTTTTAACATTTTCTTCTACTTTTGGTTCACGCTTCTTGAGAATTCGTTTTGTTCGTGCATTTTTTGGCTTTCTATTTTTTTTCAAATTATGATTAAAGCCAGAGCCTGTACTGAATCATTTGCATAGAAAATACCTTTACAAAATATTACATTGTTTTTAACATTATTGTATTATAAGTTCACTTAGAATGCTAACGTTAATAATAATATTAAGCGCGTTAGCACATCTACTGTATCAGGCACCCGATTTGTCACATCTAAATTTTTATCATATGATTTTCATAACAGTCACGCGATTTGTCACATCTAAAATTTTCTACTATGATTTTCGAATGTTACACAAATCGAACCAGTTACGTTTATACAGATTTCGTCTAAAACCTTAGTTGTAATATATAACGTACCTTAAGCCAAATTTATAGCTGAGCTTTCTACAATTCTAACGATATAAAAAACATAAAAAACTAACGTTTTCTTATAAAATATGACTGCTCTGAAGATGAGTAACCATTTTGTCTTTAGCCATCTGATGTTTTTTTGGTTCAAAATTTTTTGGCTTGAGTAGTAGTTCAGAAGATGTGCCAGAGTGAGAGCTTTCAAAAACGATCAACTTTGACGAGGTGGTACATTATAAAAAAGATGAGAAAAGATAAGGAACATGTTTTCTATTATGTAGATTGTAGTAGGTATCACTATATATATAGTGATACCTACTTACATTAGGTTGTTACCTACTTATGGGAATGACGATCGATTCATGTTTGCGTCGTCACTTGAATGACGAATGATTCGTGATTGCGTCGTCAGAGATATATTAGTATTCGCTTCGTCATTCGAGTGATGAACGATTCGCACTTGCGTCATCAGAAATATATTAGTATTCACTCCATCATTCGAGTGACGAATGATTCACGCTTGCATCGTCATTTGAGTGACGATTGGTTCATGAGTTCGTCGTCACACTTGGGTATCCACAAACTATAAAAAAATATGATGACAATTTTACGTTTACGTCGTCACACTTCTGCTATCAGATATGCTATATACACATTATCTGGGCATGCTACATTCACGCTATCAAGTATGCTATCATATGCTATCAGGCATGCTACATTCACACTATTGGGTATGCTATATTCACATTATCTGAACTGCTATCAAATATGCGTCGCTTAATTGCTATCAGGTATGCTATCAAGTATGCTATCAAATATGATATCATTTTATTTTGTCCCTAGTAGCAAGATATATGTTTACTCACCTCGATCTATTAAAGTATGCCAATTTTTTGTCACAAGTTGCCACTAGATGTTACTAGTTGTTTGCAGGTACTTGTGACAGAACTTGTGACAGCTCTTTGATATGGAAGAAAAGTTTTGAGCCTTTTCATTTCTCTCTTGATTACTTCTTTATATCTGTCACAAGTTACTTAAGTAAAATGGTAGAATTCTAAAAGAAAAAAAAACTCTTTCCCATGGTATACCTTTGATATATACCCATCACATATATCCAGCATACATACATATACCCAATATATATGTATATATATAATCTATTCGATACCTATAATACATATGATACATATACTTACCTATAGTACATATACATATACACCTGCCCTTAATATATATATGATACACCTATAGAAAAAAAGTAAAAAGCTACGGTTAAAAAAATTTTTCTAAGAAACTTGTAATAGCTGTAACAGTTATTGAGAACAGTTTTTTTCGAACTCAGACTTCCAAGAACCTATCTTTTTATCAATTTTTTTATCTAAAACAAACTTGTAACAACTTGTGACAACTTGTAATAGTTATCGAGAACAGTTTTTTTCAAATTCAGACTTCCAAGAACCTATCTTTCTACCAATTTTTTTTACTTAAGACGAACTCGTGTCAACTTGTGTCGGTTATTACTATGTATTTTTTCTGTCCTAATTCTCATTCTAGAAAAAAACTTAGACGTAACCTCTAATCAATAGGTATATATTGTACATTAATTACTAAGATTCTTTTACCTCAGATTTATTTTGTACTATCTTCTTTAGCTTTTTCTGATGCCTATACTTTCTTTTATAATGTTTCTGCGTATAAGTATCACAATAGTCATAACCAGAATTAGTTAACTTAACACAACCATATTCTTTGCAAGGATAACGAATAGGTGAATCCCGGTGAACTTT